CTACTCAATGTTTTAATACCATGTATCCATCTGGGGATGGGGAGCAATCTCCCATTCCATCCCATCCCTGGACTCGCTCTGCTGGATTAAGATCTGTGATCCGTAAACAGTGTTGGGCGCGTTACTTTGAAAAAGTAATTAGTTATAGTTACTAGTTACTTCTCCGCAATAAAAGTAACTAGTTACTAGTAAAAGTAACTATTGCGTCACTTTTGCGTTTCTCGCCCCTGTAACCCTCACCATCCGGCCCCCACCTTCTCGCCGTGTGTTTCCAAAGCCAGCTGAATAGAGCGGACAACAAAGACAAGAACCTGCAGAGAGTTTTGCATTTATTGCAACTCAACGTAAATGACATCAGGGGGGAACGCAATGTGAAGTTTTTTAACAGGGCGTTCAGATCTGGTGAAATTAATAGCTGGGGATGTCTAATTCTGAAATCCTGTGTGTTTGGGTTGTTATAGGTACTGCAACATCTATCTATCCATCTATCTATCTTGATCTATACTCTGTGTGTGACATAAAATATGGATCTCCATCCCTGCCACAAAGGCCATCAAATAATGTTTAAATTAAAAAGTACAGCTGGTTGAAAAGGCAGAGTATCCATCCATCCATCCATCCATCCATCCATCCATCCATCCATCCATCCATCCATCCATCCATCCATCCAGATTTCTCCCTTTCTCCATATAGGCTATTATTTGATTGTTCACGCTCTCCATAGTTCCCCTGTGGCGCGAGCACAGGGTGACTGTTGCGCGCCTTTAGCGAGCATGCGCGTTTCCTGTCACTTGCGTGGTGAATCGTGCCGACTGTGCTGTGCGGAGATGCAGGGGAAACCGTATGTGATGATGAAGCGCAGCTTGACGTAACACCGGTATTTCCATCTGGAAAACGCTGTTTTGCTGCTGGAGTCATCCTCACTTTCCATCTCTCTGTGTGTGCTGTACGTTAACACCCGCCAGCAGAAACAACCACCTACCCAACTGACAGACAGAATCTCACTATACATCAGCCATTCTCCCCTCTCTCATGACAAGGCGCGCACGAGTCCTATCATGAAAAAAGGTTAATTGTGCGACCTGGGTAATGCACAGTGAAGGGGTGTCTGCAATGGTAACTGCAATAATAACGCCTTTACTTTCAACGCCGTTAGTCCCATCACTGTCCATAAATCATTGTAGTGCGGTAAACTCTCTGAGGCGATCTTGCGACCAGTTTTAGATGATTATGATTTTGCAACATTCTGAATTATACTGCTTGAAATATTCGTTAGAAGACTGACATGGTCATAACCATACTCAGGTCGGCAGGAGTGTTGCAGGCACATTAGCGGTTTCTCAGCCCTTATACCCAGCACTCTAAATCTAAAAAGGTTTTTCAGTTTCAGCATACTGTGCACTATGCTGCACCGGTCAGGATTTTAGGATCCAATCACAACATCGCCTGATTGTCGCTCAACAATCACAGCATCAAATCCATAAATCATTCAGCTGCTTTCCCATGTACATTAACATGGTATTATTAGGTATCAAAATTATAGGGGGTGAGAAAGTGTTATGAGTTGACTAATGTTTTAGTGAAGGAGGCAGCGGAAACTAGCTGTTTTAAGATGAAATGGAAGATGGAGAAAATTATATTGACAAAGGATGGAATAAGGAATGTTCTTAAGAGGTTTGTTGGTGGCTTTTAAAAAAGCTGTTTTACTTTAGCCCTATAAGGACTGGTCCTACCACCACTCCTACCAGTAGTTGCCCTCTCAACCCAATCCGCCACTCTGTCTGCTTGGAGGAGCCCCTAATATCTGTTTCTCTAATTCAGGCTTCTGCCGTATTCCTTTAACCCCCTTAACTTGCTTAGGTGAGCTGTAGTCCATCCTGGAGCTGTTTTCCTGGCGGATTTCTCTCCGCCTTCCTCTTGAGCTGCCTTATCTCCAGTGGGCTCCTCTGATCTACTGTTTTGTTTCCTTATTTCCAAAGGGTGACACAACTGGCCCCTACATCCCGGCTGTGCTGCTCTTTCTCCCAGTGTTCTCACCCCCTGTTTTGGAAGCTCTGACCAAAACAAACATGGACAAGGTGTAGAATGATGTGTGTCCACTCAGAAAAGAAATTTTTCAACAACCGGTGTTTAAAATCGGTGGTCTTCATAATTACTGCCCCTTTGTGGCCAATCACATGAAGATTGTCAAATTGTCATGATCTGCTGATTAAACGTGCAAGTCTATTTGGCACCTACATTTTGTTTGTTTCTAAGATGCAATTATTTGCTTTTATGTTAACGAGAAATTGACCAGGTGTAGCAAATCAAGTGGAGCATCGGATGTAATTGGCCTACTAAAACCATATGCACTTTAAAAGGGAAATTCTTTAGTTACTTTATTTTTAGAAAAAAGGTGGTTATAGTTTGAATTCTATCTATTTAAGCTCTCAAGATAGGCTTCCTCTGTATCTCGACCTGAAGTAAGTTTCCATGGTTATGAGAAGGCCTGTCCTATGTGGATTTAGTAAGATTGCCTCTTTATTGTTTAGATATGAAGCTCTACCTTGTTGAGATTCAGTTGAAAGCTGATATCACTATTTATTCCATGCATACTTACCAAAACAATACAACTGATAGGGACACCCTGAATCTATGTGTCAGAGATTTTTCAGTGTAATAGGTACCATTGAGTCATTCCTCAACACCCAGGTGGGCGTAAGCACTGAAGGACTTGTACCCAAAGAGGTTTTTCTGCCTTATAAACACCAGGGTGGTTTGTTTACATACTCTGCGTCAGTTTGGAAAGCCGCCATTTACTTAAGATACACACACAGATACTTAGAATGTGCACAGTGAGGTGAAGGGAGTGTGAGTGGAAGTGTTTGCATGAACACGTCTCAGTGATTACCACCCTACAACAGTCTATTTCTGACTGTCCACGTTTTACATGCACATTGCCAGGAAGTGCAGTTTCCTGCAGAAAGGTCTGATTCAGCAACAGCAAGCTGTTGCTCTTGTTTTTGCGTGGAAAAACAAGAGAAGGAGTGACAGGAAGATGATGCATCTGTTTGTCTTCCTCATAAAACAAAATTGCTATTTTACAGGTGCAGGAAATTTTCTGCCATATAATCTATAAGTATTTTTTCCAACAGAAAGCCCATCTTTTCCATTATTTTTAATGTCAGTAAATATCTTAATTTCTTAAAGGTTCCACAACAGATTATATGCTTGCACCTACTCTCTAGGTTCCCATAACCTTGGCCATAACTATTATGCATTTACTCGTTCTCGAAATTCACCTTCCAAAACCTGTATGAATAATTGCACCACTCCTATGAGACATCTATCATGCTCCTGGACAGGAGTTAAGAACAAAAAGAAAAGGGAGGTATGAGAAACTCAACACAAGCAAAGGATAATACGGGTTGTAGAGAGGGGAAGTATAGCTTTTAAAACAGATATGTGCTCAGGAGTGAAGGCAGATGGAAGACAAAGAGGGAGAAATCTTAAAAACTGGAGAGGGCATTTTTGCCTCAATATGGGAGGTCTCTCAGTAAGTCCGACCTATATGGTTTCACCGTTATTGGCTTTGTGGTTTTAACTGAAAACCAAATTATGGCTGTTCAATCCCTCGTCGCAGTTGTTACCTCAGGAGAAAAACTGAATATCTAAGTATCCCATTTGTTACTTTTGCTTAAATTAATACCTCTGCCTCTAAATACAAATGGCCATATGATGATATCAATCTGCTTTTTGGAGTTGGTATGGAGTATGGTTTATGGTGCAAGGTGCTTATCTTTGTGTCTATCTCAGTCAGTTTCTGTTTTTGGCATCTTGCAGGCATCTCTGTAATGCATCATTTCTTTTGACTGGTGAGGTCATGTCAAAATTTCCACAAGGTGAAATCATACACATGCCTAAACTTAGAAACAGGCTTTTCTATTTTTCCTTTTTTCTGGGGCACAACTTTTGATTGTGATGCAAATTTAAATGCTGCACAACTATATCTCTGCGTAATGAACTTTTCCATATTCTGTGATGTTATAATTACAAACTACTACACTTACTATTTTTTTTACCTGTATGTAAACATTACTTGCACAAAAAAACAACATGGATTATAATGACACAAAGCGAGATGCTATAGCTACGAAGCAATTTGCTACTTTTGCCTTTTACTTAAAGATAATTAATATAAAATCCAACAACTCCAAAATTATCTGTTTAACAACTTACGACTAATACAATCACCAAAATGTCTGCTTCACTTCAGACATTTTGGTAATTGCTACACTTGTTTCACTAATGTAACACGACTAAAGATAACTCATTGTTTTTAACATGACACAAACTTTACCTTTAATTTAGCAAATCGCTCTAGGTGATGCTCATACATCAACATATTAGTTGTGTTGTTTCCTCTGGCTGCTGCGGTCCGATTGCACATAGGACAGCTCTCTGCAGCCAAACCTTCACTGTTCTTCTACAGTAGCCCAATTAAATTCCTGTGTAGTTGACTTTCATAACACAAGTTTTATAGCATAGCGCTGAATGCATAGCACCCTATCTGAAAGGACCAAAGCAGGCAGAAAAAGTTTGGGGCACTCAACCCCTTCACCCATCTGTCAACCTGTAAAGCAAATAGCTACACAGGAGTGACGCAGAAGGGAATGTGATATTGCAGCTGCTTACCATAACACTGTTTCTGATGATTTCTCTAAGATGTATGGAAAAAAGCTTTTACCACATGACTATTTCATACAGGTGGGTACCCACCCAATGTCTAATGTTAAAATGTTCACATTAAGCATACACAAATAACTTGTGAATTTGAAGTAATGCATAACATTGGACTATTTACCATTTACCATATAGCTTATCATAATCCATTAACAGACATATTGTTAACTTAAAAATCTTTATCGTAAAACATTTGATGTGTTTGATTTTTTTTCTCAGTTTCTCAGGTTTTTCTTACTTTTTAATATTTTTTTCTCCTATCTCTTGCTGTCTTACAGGTGGTGTCGTGCTATTACATGCGAGGACTCCAACATACGGCTGAATGCATGAGGCTGTGAAAGAGAGTACAGAAGGGAGGGATCTCAAGGCTTTCCATCGTAGAGAGAGGATACAATCTGTGACTTGTCCCCTACTATTTTGCAGCTATGTTGGAGCCCACAAATGTTCTTCAGCCTTGCAAGGAAAATGGGTTCTCTTTTTACATCTCTTTGCTCTGTAGTTGGGTATGGGCCAGAGCAACATAAAGCCTTCCTGGCCCTGAAAGAGACCCCTGGGGCTGTTCTTTGGAGGTATTTGTGATAACTCTGCTGGATCTTCTGCTGTCACCATCCTCTGTGGTTTTCATTAGTGGCTAATGAGCTGCTGCTTGAAAGGAAAGGGAGAATGCGCCTGTGGAGAGAGGCAGGACCTTACAGCTGTTATTAAGAGACCAAGAAATCTCAGACAAGGATGTCTTTGCCCTTCCAAAACAACAACAAAAAATTGAACCCTTTAAAAGGAGCTTTGGAAGCATGGACTTATTCTAAGATTGGATGTTGCTTTGACGTGTCTCTCTTTTCTGGTCTTAATTATTAATACTTTGTTTTTGTGTTTGAAATATATCTGTTGACAATTATGCAATTGAGATCAGAGACAAAATATTCTATCAAGATAATTCAATCAATGAACGTGTGCTGAAAAACCTTAACAAGAGGACCTTTTATGAAACTGTTAAACATTCAGCAGTTGTAAATTTTATTATCTTTACCCATCATATGTCTTGAAAAGAATTGACCAGCATGGCAGCAGCCTATCGTGTAGTTGTAAGCAGTGTCAGCTGCTACAACAGTGTGGTGGTAGACCGACGTGTTCAATGCCAAGCTGTGCACTACTGTGCAGGGCCATGTGGGGCACAGTCTAAAGGTTTGGACTGTACCGTTGCACATCGAGGCACATGCTCTGAGCTCCTAGTTGCCCCTGAATCTACATACAATGATTTCAACGGCTCACCAACACACACCCATACCATAATTTCTCAGCATCTTCCTAACCATGGTAAACTTTGTATTTCTATGGATCCCATTCAAAATGGAGGTTTGGAGAGGGCAGACAGCAGTGGCAATTTGTCTTTAGGGGAGGACAGCCCCACATGGCGGGGTAAAAAGACTTCTACTACTGGAGGATCTATTGGGAATCTAAGTTGCTCTGGCAGCCTGAAGGATATCACTGAAGAGGCTATTAACCTGGCCAGCGGCAAGCTCAAAGAGTTCTCTTTTGACAAGCTCCGCCTGTCCTCCTCTAGTCATGTTACTCTCCGCAAAGGTCGTAAAGTGCGCCCTGACTCTTTTAGTCGTCGCTCAACTGACCTGGAAATAATCTATGGCCACTTTAGCTCGAGTCTAACAACAAGCACAACAACTAATACTATGACAAATGGCATAGTTACTTCCAATGACGAGAATGTGCCACCATTTGTTTTAGGGAAAGGGAATGGAGTGGATGGAGCAAAGCTAAAGGGTAGCTCTGGTGCTCTTTCAGCCACCACAAAAATTGGTAGTGGGTCCACCAGCAGCCTTTCAAGTATTGGGACACTCGACCAGAGTCTAAACACCGTGGCGTCCCTGTACCGCACTACCTTTGGAGAGGAGAACCTTATTGCCCGACTTCTAGAAAAGACAAGGGCAGAGGCTGGAAGCGGAGGAGCAGGTGGTGAAGACATCCGTGCTTGCCTTGACATCCTGCTTAAATGCTCTGAGGATTTAAAGAAATGCACTGACATTATCAAGCAATGCATAAGGTGCAAAGCAGGTGGAGGGCCAGAGGATGGAGGTACAAATCCTGACAGCATTTATCGGGCAGTGATGACCCGACTTAGCTCTTATCTCAAGAGGCTTCCTTTGGAGCTGGAAGGAGTTGGAAATTTAGGAGGAACGGGTCACGGCAGTCAAGGTGCACCTGGAAGTGGACACAGTGACCTGGCTGAATTGATTAACACTATTCACTCTATACAGCAAGGACCTTTTTCTCCGATCTTTGGCAATGAGCAACCTCCTCGCTATGAAGATGTGGTGCAGTCGCCTCCCATCTCCAAGACTCATTTACACTCCACATCTTCTACTCCTTCCTCCGTCACAACTTCATCCACATTATTAAGATCGGATTCTCTTCATACCAAATCAGTCCAGAGTTCAGTCTCTCAAAAGGGTATATCATATAGTAATGGACTACAGCCCACACATGCTTCTTTGAACACCCAACACACTCTGTCTCCCCCACCTGTTATATGTTCGACCTCCAGTTCGTCTCCAAAACACTCAACCACCCCTCCAAGAAACTCTCCAACACCATCATACACACACACTCCCTCAATATCGCCTATGGAAGCTCTATATATTGAGGAGGAAGAGGGAGAAGTCGCAAAGACTACGGATCAAATCTCACGGCTGACACACACTCCAACCAGAGTGATTAACAATACCCATAACAATATTGTAAGTGTTATGGGAACACAACCACACCTTTCCCAATCCAACACAATTAATAACTCGTCAAATTACTTGCCAGGCAGCTCTGGCTACATTCCCACTTGGCCATCCTCCTCCTCAACAGTGTCAACAGCCAAAGGTGCTTCGCACAGAAATGATGACATTGATAAACTTCTAATGGACTTGGAGAATCTCTCTCAGAGTATGAGCCACCCAAAAACCATAGAACCTCCACTTCCAGCTAAGACCAGGAAGAGAGCAGGAGCACAAGGGATTGTCTCCAATGAGTCTTTCACTCAAGCCAGAATACCCCAGTACCAAGTACAAAAACCAGCCAACCACCTTGGCGTGAATGGTGTTAATTACAGGGTAACCCAGAGTCCCACTCCTCCTCAGGAAGTAAACAATGAAACTGGGACTGGAGAGGAAGAGGATGGAGTACTTTTGTTAAGAATTCTTGAAAGCATCGAGAGTTTTGCTCAAGAGCTTGTTGATTCAGGTGCTGGGAGTACAGGTAGTGCTGAGAGAAAATCTGGAAAGGAGAGGGAGGTGATGAGGCTCCTGCAGGACACACTGGTCACAGCCAGTAGGGCTGATAGCCCAAACAGCACAACCCCAGCAGTAGTTTCCACTGCCCCCTCAATGCACACAGTTGAAGTTCAACATGTAGCTTCAAACCACTCCCAGGAAAATGCATCTACAGTGTCACCTAAACCAGCATCTGATGCTGACCATAATGCTACAATTGAATCAGAACCTAAACCTTTAACAGATGCTGCTACAGAACATTTGTCTGACCTTGTGCCTGACGGAACTGCTCAAGCTCCTAAAGTTGAATTTCATCCAGAATCCCCTGCTGACTCTGGATGTGCAAACCCTGAAATGTCTACTGTTTTAGATGAGTCTGTACCTCCATCCTCTCTAGAAGCATCATCTCCTGTTACCCTCTCAGTCACAGAAGATATTGTCATAGCTGATGGTGATCCATGTGATTTAAGAGAAGCTGGTTCTACCCTCCTCATTCAGCAGACTCCAGAGGTCATCAAGGTATGTAAAATTTGAAAATGCACAAAGAAGAAATAAGGCGGATTTTGACATGTTCTGTATCATAAATAAGGTTTGTCCACTAGCTGATCCACTAGCTGATAATGGCCCAGTTAATAAGATAATTTTGAGATAATTGTGATGTTGATGTATTAAGAGTTCAGTTTTTATTTCTGACTCATATGGTGTTGCACAATGACAGGAAGACAACATAACTGCAGGGTTTCTTAATATTCAATCATTGAAATTGTTGATCTTTAGCTGAGTCTTAGGCTTTAAAGATATTGCTTTGACCTCACAAACATCAACTGTAGCTACTGAAAAGTGATATTTTCAGTTGTCATGTTGATAGACATTTATTGTGTGAGCAGCTGCTACCAACTGGCTAAGTGACTGCTCGGCAATTACAGTCAACTGCCATTTAATCTCCAAAGTAGATCCCCCATTTTGTCACTGAAACAGTTTTGAAATCTAAGGGTTTAAATAAAGAATGAGTTGGAATTAAATTAGTGGTCTACTACCAGGACATGAGGAATAGATCCTGTGTACATGATGGACTGTAGGGTGAATGTTAAACTACCTTTAATGTAGGCTTCTTCTGCTTTTATTGCAAATATTTGAGGGTTATTTGGAGACAAATTAGACAACTCAGACTTATAAAAAGTTAATAAGTAGATTGGAAACGCAGAAAAAGCCCAGATGAAACTTCTTTACTGTTTTTGTGGATACTAGCAGAGAAAGTTACAGTGGGTGTTTAAAGCCGACTCTAACAATAATTTCAGGGTTTCTGATTCTTCTATTTAGACCTGCCCCAGAACAAAGAACAATCATTTTAAGAACAACAATGTCCATATTCTGGCCAAGGAACAGAGATGGTTTTAGAGAGGGTTTAAGGAAGCTATCCTTGCTAACCTGGAAAAACCATAATTCAAAGAAGGAGTTGGTCTTGGACATAACCTGTCACCTACTTACAAAGCACTTTTAGGAGCAATAACCAGAAGATTAACCTCACACCTGCCCTCACCTGACTCACACTTCAATAAGGCATGAAACGTCTTCTAGAAAACTTCACGTCCAGTTTCCTAAAATGAACGTTTCAAGCTTGACCATGACCTGGATGGCTGAGAATCTTCACAGATATCATGTACATATGAAATCCCATTAATTGAATTTTAAAATTATTCCCGATTCTTTATGATGCAGTTTTTGAAACTGCATTTTTGAAACCTTTATTTGTAAAAACATATATATATATATATATATATATATATATATATATATATATATATATATATATATATATATATATATATATATATATATATATATATATATATATATATATATATATATATATATGTATGTATATATGTATATATTAGGGATGGGACGATTTATGAAAACCGTCCGAACCGTTCGGTTCGACTGTCTCGGTTCGATTCGCGTGTGTTTCGTTCGGTTCATGCGCTGCTCCTTTTTCTCATATTTATTTATTTTTTTCATTAATGTCATATATTTTTATGGGATTTCGGTGTAACAATCAACATATACCGAATCGAACTGAATCGAAAACCGTGACCACGAAACCGTGAATCGAACCGAACCGTGGATTTTGTGAACTGTTCCACCCCTAATATATATATATATATATATATATATATATATATATATATATATATATATATATATATATATATATACATGTTAACATGTATACGAATCAGTCAAAAGGGTAGCTTAGAACATTTGCACCAATTGTCTTAGAACATTTCAGGGATGCTGCTTCCCTGAGTGATAAGACTGAATAATGGGTGTAATTAAGTTTGGTGAACATGCTGATTCAGTTTCAGTGTCTGGGTATAAAAAAGACTAAAACTCTGAAACGTGGAACAGAACGGCTCATTGTTTTAGGAGGAGCTCTCTCACTCTGTGTGTCAGAGTGTGTGTGGAGGATGTGTGTGTTTTGCTTTCCTCACTAGGGAATACTTAAAGGTAATTTAGGGTTGTGAGGGAGGGAACTGAAGCATTTTATTTTTGTGTGTGTGTGTGTGTGTGTGAGTGTGTGTGTGTGTGTGCATGCATTTACATCAACAGTGGGTACTAACAATGGTGTGTATAATCTAAAAAAGTTGGGTTGCCTCCACCTGTCTCTGATGTGGATATTTAACAGCACCTTGTGGATTTAGATAATTATGCGTGGCAGACTTACCCACATTTCCACCACCACCACTTACTCTCAGACCCTTTCTGTTTTTCTTCTTCCGTCTTTTTTTTTTTTCTGCTCATCCATCAGCCCCTCTCCTACATAAGTTCCCACTGCTCTTTGAATGTGTTTATTTGCCAAGTTCTGTAACCTTATGCCCTGCTTATATGTAGGGCACCTACATATGAGGTTACCGTGGTAGCTGGCACTATTGGAGCTGAAACCAAAAACACCAAACAAACACATCATTACACAATCTCTTTCGTTCTTCATCGTCAAATCGTCCCAGCCAATCCCCCTTCCTCTTCAATTCTACTGTCTTTGTGATTCGTGGCCTTCATATTTGATCATTCCTCACATTCCTTTTATAGCTTACAGGTTTTGTTGATCTACCTGCACTAAGGCAATAACTCTGCTTCCACCGCAGCTTCTCTTGCTGCCCTGTGATTGGTCGCTGTGGTATTTTGGGAGAGTTGAATAACAGTTGTTGCTGTGTGCAGGGCAGAGAAACCTAATGAGACGTGCCGTTTGGGGCCTGGATGTAGTTGGGGGAAGAAGGTTTGGACTGTTGGCACATTGAGTGTTAATGGTGTCATTACCCTAAATCCCCTCCCCATCCCACCACCCGCCCCTGGCTGAACTAGGTGCTAGGCAGGCCTAAATCTGTCCACCGCTCTCTACTATGGCATCCTGCTAACAGACTCACTGTCGCCACAGTGTAAATGGACCTGCGTGTGGTGCTTGGGACGATGTAGGAGTTTAGCAAAAGCCTCATTATGAAGTTTTCACCTGTATAAGTAGTTACGGTAGTGTTATTGCATGTGCATATATAATGAAAGGACTTCTCCCTGTTGATAAACAGAAATGTTTGTCAACAAACATTACCATGGCCTCTTGCTACTGCATATCACAGCTGAGATTCAGAATAGCTCTTAGACACCAAACTGCAATACAGGTCTTCTGGCAAGTATGCTAATATTGGTCAACATTGAGGGAAGTTGGATAAACCACCAATCAGAATGTAAACAAGGTGAGGTGGTCTTGTAAGAGTCATCAAAAGTATTAGCGGCTTTCAACTGCCCACCTTTTTCTCTTGACCACCAATTCCATAGTTTTTAAAGTGACGGTCTTGCAAGATCTCTGAGATGTCAGTGGCCCAAATAAGAAAAATCTTTTCATTTTAGTGCTGCTCCTGGTAAAGAAACGTTATTAATTAGGCATTGAATTCAGTTGATAATTTGCTTATAAGCTTATGCATAAAAATAGAGATATCACAAACTATTGTGATAAATAACTTTATTATAACTTTAAAAGTCAATATGTCATATAATTCTAGTTGAATTTATGAAAATGTTTGTATTTGATAATGTTTTTGTTATTAGTTATCATACTCTCTACTGCAGTAGGCAGTGGTTAGTATGAGTACGTTGTTTTTTTACCCAGTCAAAAAAATACCCATGAATCTCTGCGATGACAAGAATGCCAGCCGTTTGAAATCAAAAGCAAGGCCGCATCTGGAGCATGGAGAGGTGACAGCAGTGATGCTCAGAGTTGAGGTTCATCATGTCAGCAGCCTCTTCCTCATCCAAAAATAAGAGGCTGGGGTTCGACATGTTTTTGTTTCAGCTCTGCAAATGGTGACATAATTTACAGACACATGTACACTCCTGGCTTGATCAAGAGCTGCCAGTAAGATGGCTTTATCAACCCTCTGGTGAGTTGAGACGTTTAGCCATCTGCCCTGGACGTGCTTGCTGCTCTAAAATAGCACTAGCTGACTAAATGTACTTTTTAACACTAGAAATCCCAGAGATACGAGAATTTTCGTCAGCCTCCAGTCCCCCCAAACAGTACTTCACCATTCCACCCCCTTCAGTTTCGGTTTTAGCTCAAGTCTCTTAATATGATTTTTCCCCCCCCTGCTCTCTTTACCTGAGAGCAAGGGAGGGATATAACTAGGTCTACGTCATCAGTGTCGCCATCACCGCAATAATTTCAGCGGAGCAACCAGCGCAGCGATCAGACGATAACTGATCTGTACAATGAAAATAGCTGCATGAGCTGGAAAGCTGTAGAGAGGGAAGAATATTCATACAATAATGATCATCTGCCCTCTTTAATAGGGGGCAAATATAACTCAAGTCACGATCTCTCCTCCACTGCAAACAGCATTGTGAGACTGCAGTATAGTTAGCATTATATTCACAGTTTCGTTTTTTCTGGATTAATAATCATCGGCGGATCATTTATTGTACAAAACAGACACCTCTCAGCAACCAAAGCAAGCCAGACAGTGAGCTACAACCGTGGTTTCCTCAAAGCGAGTCTCCTATCGCACTGGGAGAATTACAGAGCTCGCTCCTCCACAGGGACCGTCTGCAAGTTGCAAAATAATCAGAGAAAAATATTCAAAATCACCAAGAAGAGGTGGATTATTATCAAATTCATTTCATGTGTAGCTCATCTCATGTGTTTCATATCACATTTGTTGGATTTGAAAATAATACGTTTTTTGAGGAATTTTCCAAAGCCTAAATGACAAATGGACCCTCTATTTTATTATTAGAATAAGTATAAAATGAGCAATGACTACACTATAGATCATTGTAGTGCCACCAAACTTGTAGCACACATAGATAACTTCATCTGGATCATACTACAACTCTGACTTTCAGAATATGTGCTAAACTCTATTTTTTGAGATTTTTTCATTCTTGTTATAAGCAGGCCAGGTGCACAATATCTGCAACAGGAACTACAACACTGAGCATTGTGTGCACTGCACAAAGTATAACTGTCG